GGAAGGCCAGAAGAGTAGCTCAGAACGCACTAGAGGGATGCTGAGGAGACCTGATGGCCAACAATTTAAAACCTGGGGAACAAGGACCACCTCAGGAGGGGTTTAGAGGCACCTACACAGTTCCTGAGGGGTCCGGAGAGCCAGAAGACAGCTCTGGGGAGCAAGAAAGACAAAAAGAGCGGTCCAGAGTGCCCTAGAGAGGTGCTAAGGGGTCTGAGGAGCCAAGATATAGCTTCAGGGCAAACAGAGGGCTACTACAGTAGTCTAGAGCGCACTAGAGGGGTGCTAGGGGGTCCACATCACCAAAAATGACTCCGGGGAACAAGAAAGACCTAAGGAGGGGTTCTGAGCAGACAAGCAGGCTCCTCTAGGTGCTGAGGGGCCAGAAGACAGCTCTGGAGCGCAACAAGCATCCGAGGACTGGTTCTGAGTAACAAATGCCTCTGGAAGGTTTCTGAAGGGACCAGAGGGCCAACAGAGGTCTGTGGGTCAAAATTCAAGGCCAATGTGTGGACTAGGGCAGCCTAGAGGGGTGCTAAGGGCCCTGGAGGGCGAACAGAGAACTCTGAGGTACAACGAAATCCTACAGGGGGTTTCTGAGGGGACTACAGGGGTCCTAAGGGGTTAAAAGGGCCAAAGACTGTAATGGGGCAGAAAGAAGTTTGAAAGAATCATCCAGAGTGCACTAGGGGGATTTTCAGGGGTCTAACATTGCCAAAAAAAAGACTCTGGGGAACACGGAAGACCTCAGAATCAGTCCATAGGTAATCTCAGGGGTGCTCAGGGGTCAGGAGGGCCAAAAGACAGCTCTGTGGCACAACAAAGGCCTCTAGAGGGGTGTAGGGGTGACTAGAGATGTTCTTGCAGGTCTAGAGGGCCCCCAGAGCTCTCTGGGGCACAGGGAAGGCCAAAAGATGGGTACCGACTTCACTAGAAGGGTCATAAGGGGGTTATATGACCAAAGAAAGGCTCTGGGGAACAAAGGTCCCAAAGGGTCCTGAGGGGAAAGAAAGAGGTCCTAAGGGCTAAAATAAGGCTCCGGGCCCAATTTTGACCAAAAGAGACACTTAGAGTGGACTAGGGAAGTTGTAAGGGGGCTAGAAAGAAAAAAAAAAAAAAAAAAAAGGCCAAGGGGCACAATGAAAGCAAAAGGAGGGGTCCTGATGGGACTGGAGTGGTCCTTGGAGAGCTAGAAGGCTAACAGAGGGGTCCTGCACTGTGAAAGCCAACAGAGGGGGTACTGAGGGAATTGGGTCTTAAGAGAGCTACTGGATCCCAAGAGGGCTCTGGGGCACTACAAGGGCCTCAGGAGGGGTTCTGAGGGTACTAGAGGGCTCCTAAGGACTCTACACACCCAAGGGAGCCTCTGGTGCACAATGAAGGCCAATGGAGGGCTTCTGAGAGGACTGGAGCAGGCCTAGGGGGACTAGACATCAAATAGAAGCCTCTAGGGCACAGTGAAGGCTTTGGGAGCAGTTTTGAGTATTAGAAAAGGGAAGGGTCTTGAGAAGATTAGAGGGCATACATTGGGTTCTAGGATGGCATGTCAGAAGGATGTCTGCAGTTCAAATCAAGGGCTCAGGGAGGGGTTGTTAGGGAGCCCAAGGGCCAAAGGAGGCGTTCTGTGGGGATCAGATGCAGGGGTCCCGAGGGGAAGAGACAGCACACAGTGGGCACTGGGGCACCCCAAAATGGAAAAGGACTGGTTTTGATGGGACTAGGTTGCAAACGGCCCTGGAGCGCGACAGGAGAACGCAGGGTTCTGGGGTGCTTTGAAGAACAAACATGGGGGTTCTGAAGGGAGTAGAGGGTAACTGAGAGGGTGTGAGGCAGGCTGAAAGGGAATGGAGGACTATGGTATGCACTAAGAGGCAAAGAAGGAGGACAGAAAGGGACCTGAGAGAAACAGAACTCCCAAGGAGGAGCGCAGGTGGAATTTTGGGGCATTTAGGCAGTGCTGGAACACAATGAAGGCCAGCAGTTTCGAGACTACCTGCCACATGGATTGATTTTGATCAGACTAGAGAACACATAGAGAGCTCTGAGGTAAAAGAAAGGAAAACGGAGGAGTCTTGAGGGGACTGGAAGGAAAGGGGACCTGATGGGATAGAGGGCACACAGAACGGTCATAGGGATAGGGCATAGAGAGGACTCTGTGGTGCAATCAATAGAAAAGGAGGGCTTCAGGGCACACTGAAAGGGTGCCATGAGCGCCCAGGGTTCTGGAGTGCCCTCAAGGCAAACAAAGGTTCCTGAGGGGAGCGTGTGGCAATCAGAGGGCTGCTGATGGGACTAAGAGACAGTGAGGTGGGGGGCTCAGAGGGCAAACAGAGGCATCCTGAGAGGACTAGAGGGAAAAACAAAGGCTCGGGGATGCACTAATGGCAAACGGAGGGGTTTTGAGGGAACTAGAGGGAAGAGAAAGGGGACTTAATAGGACAAGAGAACAAACATAGGAGTCTTGATGCTATCAGAGGGCCCACAGACACTAAATGGCAGAATAATTGTGCAGGAACTAGAAAGAAGCAAAGACTTCCGAGGGGACAGGAGAACAAATGGAGTGTCTTGGAACATACCTGAAGGCGAATGGATAGGTCCTGAAGGAACTAGGGAGCAAACGGGTGAGTCCTGGGGGGACGAGGCAGAAAACTGAAGGTCCTGGGACATTAACCCACCTGCCATAATCCTTCCACTTGGACCCTGCCTCTTACCTCTGAGAAGCAGGCCTTTGCTTTCATTCCGCAGGCAGCTGTCAGCTGTTGCGTAGTCTTGGCAGACAACTTGAGGATCGCTGCCCAGGTAGTCGTGACCTGCAACATCACACGCTCAGAACGTTCTCAGGAAGTCATGTAGATCCGTAACCTGAAGGGCCAAAATCTCTCTTCAGGACAGTTCTTATTTCACCATAGGAGCATTGTTTCCCTCTCTTCTCCGCTGCACTGCCTCTAACAACACACCTTTCTCATCACTGTTTTCCCCTGCTACTTCTATTCCTGTCAGTTGCTCCTGCATCTTAGTCCTCTAAAGCACCTGTTTCTCATCCATATGTACTTTTATGTCCTGTTGCCCATTCCCCCTCCTGTTTGTCCTATACCAGGCAGCTGAGACACCCTGGCCTAGTTCTTAGCTGCATACCCCTTTGATGTGGCCAGCAGCTCCAGCAGAGCAGAGGGCAGCAAAGAGGGTGGTTGTGAACATAGCACACCTAGGCACTGAGCAAGACAGAAGCAGCAGCAAGGCATCAAGAGATCCCATGTTTGTAAAGAAAATATGTAGAGGCAATTGGGGATCCTCTGCACCTGTGCCCAGGGCTCCTGCAGGTTCTTTCCACCCAGTTAAAGGTACCCGAACACAGTGACCTTGGGAGGCAGTAACACAGTGTCTCTGGGGCTGCTGTGGGGTGCTTGTGGCTGTTCTAGGGTGTCTTGGGCTCTTTTAGGGTCCTTGGACAGAAACAGTGCTGGTCGCATTTCCTTTAGTACTTGCCCTTCTGCTGCAAAACAGGACAACTCTGCACCGTCCCCTTCTAGCACTGCCGCTCCTCATAGCTGCTGCCTAACTGGCCCCAATCCTGAGCAGAGTTATGACTCCTGGGAGCCAGCACAGCCCTTCACACTCTCCCTGCCCTCCCTAGGACCAACAAGGACACCTCCAGACCCTGAGGACAAACCTACCTGGTTGTATCAGAGATGGAAAACACTTTCTGCCCTGTACCAAGGAAAGACAGGGCAATTCTACTGTCCTCGATGACCTATGGAGACTCTCTCGTGAGTGGCATGCATCCAGTAAGGAACAAACAGGCACCTGGGGCTACAGCTCCTGGTATGCCACCGAGCACAACATGGCCAGCTGGTGGGAAACCAGCTGACAGAGAATAGCACTTCTAGCCTCCTCTAAAGGTACAAGACAGTCTCCGAGAAGACCAGTATGGGAAGGCAACACCTCCCAGCATGCCCTACAGGTTAAAATGGCCGCCCAGAAGCTCAATGCCAGAACACTACAACTCCCAGGATGCTGTGCCCGGAAGTCCCGTGGCAGAAGACTACTCCCGGCATGCCGCGCGAAACAACATGGCCGCCCGGAAGCCCCGTACCGGAAGACTTCCGCTCCCGGCATGCCACGTGAAACAACATGGCCGCCCGGAAGCCCCGTGCCGGAAGACTCCCGCTCCCGGCATGCCGCGCGAAACAACATGGCCGCCCGGACGGCCCGGGGCGGCAGACCCCCCGCCCCCGCCGGC